ATACCAGGCACAGAGGACACTTCAGAAGCAGGAAAATGCTGCTGGTAACAGTGAATAGCAGAGCTCAACAGCGATGACCTTTTCCTCCAGGCCCTTAGAAGTGTGGATGTAGACTGGGGCGCCCTCAACCCAGGGCCCAAGTGTATGCATTGGGCTCTGCAGTTGAGGTCCAGCTAACTGGAAAGAGGGAGCCCCAGGGAACTGAGCCTAGCTCATGGAGGGTCTCCTAGTCCTCTTCCTGAGCCCCCAAGCTGCTGCACCCTGAGTGATTCACTCAGTCCAACTCTGCGGCAGGAGTCACCCTGGTGGTGACTGAGTTTGTCTTTCCACCCAGCTGCCCACAAGTGACGGAGAGCAGGGTGTTGTCAGGCTGGGCACCTCCATAAACTGAGAGGCTGGCAGTGCCAGGCGGATGCTCAGTGGGTGGTGCTTGAAAGACTGAGAATAAAGACATATCAACCTGGCAGTAAGACCCCAGTGACCCGGAGTCAGGTCCCTCCCCCTTTGGATGCAGACTGCTCCTTTAAAACTAATGATCATAAAGCAGGCAGAATTCTCATTACCCAAGAAATTCAGCCAATGGAGGCAGGTTGTAGAGCACAGCTCTCTGCCCAAGTTCCATCCACCCTTTGCCACACTCACCGTGGGCTTCCCTGCTGCAGGCTGTTCCAAGGGCGGGGCAGGACTGGGGAGGGTTGTGGGCGTGCATGCACACACCCACACACATAGAAACACACACACAGGTGCTTGTGCTCCAAGGGCCCTAGGAAGGAGGGAGTGCTGTCACAAGGCTGCCGAAGGAACACCCCTGCCCCCAGATGGGAGCAGCTGGCACACTTGAAACGAACTTAGGAGAATGTATAGGAGTTCAGCAGAAGAGAAAACTTGATTCCCAAAGACTCTCCATAGCTTGTGTAGATTCACATAGCAGATCCACAGAGGTTCCAGGACAGGACACCAGCTTCTTGTCTCCAGGTTGTCCCTCTGATGCATCCTTAGTGATATTGCTTAGTTCATGGCCGTGAAAGCACAGGCTGGAGGAAAGAGAGCAGGATTTGGTGCCTGGAGGGGGGGAGGGCTTCTCAGCAGGCCACCATGGCAGCTCCACATGAGAGAGGAAGAGGGGTCACATGTGACCTTGTGGTGGTGGGTCTGAGTAGGGTATGGTGCTGGTGATGACACCTACAGGGACCAGGGGCTTGGGTGGCCTTGTGGTCCAAAATGGGCGGGCCTAGCCCCAGACCCTTCCAGAACAGCATGATGCTCAGCCATGAACGTAAGCTATTTGGCACCCTGTATGTATTCTGTTTCCCAGGGCCATGGGCTTCCCAGGCCTGGAGGGGAACAGCTGTCCTGGCCAGGAGATGTTTCCCTACTGCCACTCCAGGGCCCTGTCCCTGTTCTACTCCTGTCTTACCCCACGCCCAGGGGCCTCTTCCTGCTTTCCTATACATCTGCAGCCTTGGTTCTAATTGGCCCCAGAATACATGATTGCTCAGCTAATCTTTCTCCTTGCAATGACTTGAACAACACACTGACAGCTCCTAAAGTTATTCAACATAAATGTCCTGCTGCACCCTCCTAGCCTGCCATGCCCAGCTTCACTCTCTGTAGGGTGGCCACAGAACATGGCTTTGAAGCTATAGTAGCTGATGTTCCACAGAAAGCAAGGCCTCCTTGGGGTCAGAGTGCCCTAAGCCACCGATCCTCCTTTACCCTGCCTCTTCTGCTGCTCTTGCTGCTGGCTCAAGGGTTTCCTTGAGGGGTAGCCAGGAGCCACTGGTCTGGAAGCATCTTGCTGGAGGTATACTAGTGAAAAGTTTCCCCTGGCACTCACAGGGACACTGGGAAACCCACATAGAAGGGGACTTGGAGTCTTTCCCAGCCAGGACCCCATTTCATGGGTGAAGAAGGGAGACTTAGAGAGGCTAAGTGTCCACCCCACCATCACATGACTGTTCGAGGTACAGCAGGACTAGGCTGAGGTCCTTCTGACTTCCACCCCCATGACGACTGCTGGGACCCATTCCAACAGTTTGCAGCCTTACCTCTCCTATCTGGAGGAAAGGTTGTTTTCCAAAGAGCTGACCAAGTCCCGAGCAGAACCCGGACTCTCTTGCTCCTTAAGGCTGCTCACATGGGTGGCCGCCTTCCCTGCTTGCCTCACCAGATGTTGCATGCCCTGGGAGGGCTGAGGACTCATCTCCTGACTTCCTCTGGATGGCAGAACCAGCACCACTTCTCCCCTGGCCACATTTCCCACAGCCCCCACACCTTCTCCTGGGAGCCACATACTTTTTTTTCCCCTTTCCTACCTAATCTGATTCTTGCCTATCTTAATGGAAAATGATGCTCTTCACTATCTCACCTCCTACCGCAAAGCTTCTATGAAAGATGGAGAGGTGAAGGAGACCTTGGAGACCATCAGTCAGAGCTCCTCACATGGTTCAAGAATAGGCTTCCCCCACTGAAGCTGGGGTCTTATTTGACATGGAAGGCAATTTCTCTGGACAAAAAATCCAGATCTTTTTATCCATTTCGTACATGGTTTCTTGTCCCCTGGCAACTGATTATTAACTGAGCAGGAATATCCCACTGGTCCTAGATCCAGATGCTCAGCATCTGGTTGGGGGAAGATGGGGTTAAGCTAATGGGAAATGGAGAGTGTGTGTCTTTCCGTACAGGGACTGTACTCGTTAGAAGTCAAGATTCTTGGCTTCTTGGTGGGGTTAGATCAACTCGGCATGGTCGTGTTGACTGCTGCTCAGAACCTCTTCCTGGCACTATTACATGCTTTTGGTTAATAAAAAATGAGAAAGGAATTATTACTTAATTAACCAGTGTGTTTGGTAGGCCAAAATCCAACCCTAGGGAAAAGAAATATACATCGGGAACTACAGACCTAATAACTCCCTTAGCTGAGAGATGAAAAAGCTGAGGGCAATCTAAGAGCTTGAGGAACTATCTTTAGGTTACACAGCTTGTTATACAAAGTTGAGACTCTCACTCAAGCCTTCCAGAAATACCATAAGGGACAAAAATAACCATGTGTGGGCTACTTTGATGACAGTTCTCAGGAAAAAGGACACTGTGTGAGCAGCGTTAAGGAACAAGGTTGACCAGTGAGGGTCCATTGATCAGCCCCGTCCATTGTTCGGTTCCATTGACTCAGAGGCAGGAAATCCCTCACCGTGCAAGAGGTCATGCGGGCCACAGATGATCTACACCCACAGACAACTAAAAGAAATATTAAACCTTAGGATTTTATCAAGTCCAAGATATCGTCAGATGTAAGGTATGTCATTGATTTCCATACCCATAAGAAACAGCACTGCCAAGAATCACTAGATTGTTAATCATAAGATGCGCCCCAGTCTTAGGAAGATTGTAATGTGAGAGAAATGTGATGGTGGAATGGAAGAGAGATGGCACTTCCTCTCCCACTCCGCTTGGGGTGGCCCAGCTGTGCCCCCAGGTGACATCCTTCCGCCTGGGTCTCAGACCTGGTGAAGCTGCCATTGGAGGTAAGGTAGCACTTGGAAGAAATCACTGTTTTAGAAGCAAGGATGGAAGAGCAGCCCCATTCACTCCCTAGTATCCAAAAAAGCCCTGCACTTGCCCTCAAAAATCCTGATTTTGAATCTCAGTTTTGAATTCCTAATGGTGCTTGTTCTCCCCACATCTGTTTCCTCACCTACAAGACAGACACACACACTGCCCATCCTCTCAAAGCAGTTGCAGTGTTCAGAAGGGAAATAGCAGATGCATGCACACTGAGTGTGTAGATGCCCACTGCACGTCAACCTCCAAGGCTGTCTTCGGATCCTCAGCTGAGGTTTGTGGCTGTGCAGAACAAGGAACAGGGAAGAGGTAACATGGGTTCTCCAGAGCCAGCCTGCGCAGCAGATAGAGAGCTTCATGCAGAAAAGCACTGACGGAGTGGATGGAGCCCCAGTATGTGTGTGTGTGTGTGTGTATGGAGGGGGTGCTTCTCCAGTCTTGGTCATACCCGGGACCCCTTGAGGAAGCCTTCACCATCCCTCCTGAGGTGGGTGGCCCACCTTCCTGTGACCATGTAGTCAAAGGCCCCAGGGGTGCTTTTTTTCAAACCCCAGGCACACTTCCCAGTGTTCCACACTGGCACCCTGACGATGTGCACACGCACATGCACACACACGTGCACACACATTCTGTTCTGCTGAGCACAGCAGTCCCTGTCCGTCAGTCAGCATTATCAAGCAGGGAAGATGGGGTGCCTTGCTGTGTTTCCCAGATATCACTCCCAGGCTGCAAGTCAGCAGTGTCCCAGCCTAGAGCCCTCTCAGGACTGAAAGGTAAGCAGGCAGTTAGTGAAGAAGACCCTTCCTCCTCCATCCTCTGTGGAGAAGCATGTGGCACACAGTGACTTTTCCCAGGAGAAGGCAGTGGGTGCCCCAAGCCCTGTCCCTCCCAGAGGCGACACTTCAGCCCTTCATCTTTCCTTCAGAGCACTCAATCTCCAGAATAGACGTGAGAGTCCCACATATGAGGGTCAAGGGAGTGGTGGCACTGCAAGTGTCCCACCTGGGGAAGGTGACAGGAGTGGGTCCACGTGAGAACAGGTGCCCTGGGGCGGCTGAGTGCTGAGCAAGCGAAGGATCCAAGGCCTTGTCACTCCCACAACTGCACCCGTCTCCCCGCCCTGCCACAGGGTCCCACAGCTGTCCTCGCAAGGAGTATGGCATTGGGATTCAGACCCAGAGTCAAATCTGGCTCTGTGCAAATAAAAGAAGAAAAGTACTTTTTTAATGAAATAGAAATTTAATAAAGAAAGAAAAAGAAATCTGGCTCTCAACTCACTCGCACATCTGACCTCAGCTGAGGCATCTAGGTCTCCATTTCATCACAGTAAAGCAGGTACCAGACACTTCTGATGGCTGTTTAGAAAGTGTGGGGATTGCTGCGTGAAAAGCTCCTGTGTATACCGGGCCTCCACCACCACCCTGTCCCATCTCCTGCAGGCAGGTGGGGCAGCTGTCATGGCCGTGGGTGTCTGGACCCTCACAGAGAAGAGCGGCTACCTCGGTGTCTTGGCCTCCAGCACCTTCGCTGCCTCGGCCTACATCCTCATCTCCGCGGGCACTCTGGTCATGGTGACTGGCTTCCTGGGCTGTGGCGCCATCCTCCGGGAGCAGAGGGGCTGCCTCTCCATGGTGAGCACTCCCTGGGTAGGGAGGAGGAGGGAGGGTGCTGCCACCGCCCCGACCTGGGCTCCCATACCGAGACAAGTGGCCCCGGACCTGGGATGAGAAGGTCACAGAGCCCAGGGGCTCCTGGGCACAGCGGCTGCTCCGAGGTCTGTGTTGGCCAGACTGTGTGGATTCCTAGGACGGGAGCTGGCGGGGCAGCCTCAGCCGCTACCATCGCCCTTTCTTCCCTGCTCTGTCTCCTTTTTTCCTTTTTTTCTTTCTCCTCCACTTTTTCCTCCACCTTCCTCCTCTATTTCCTCTCCCTCCTCCTCCTCCTCCTCGTCTTCCTCTCTCTCCTCCCTCTTTGACCTCTGTTTCCTTAGGGTAACTTTCAGAGACACCCTAAGCTAAGTGTTACAATGAAGCCCCATGTTTCCACCATCCAGAACTTCCCAGTTACCCACTCATGGCCAGCCTGGTTCCACACACATGCTCCCCAAGTTCTGCCCTGGCCCTCATTTGGGGTTCTCTAAAGCAATCCCAGAGAGCATGACATCTATAAATATCTCAGCATGTATCTCTTCATCTTAAGGATACTGCTTTAGAAAACGTAACATTGCTATTTACACCTAGAAACAATGGACATTCATTCCTTAATGTCCTGAAATAACAACTGACCCAAAACAACGACAAAAAAACTTGCTTTTGAGTCAGAATCTAAATTAGGATCAAGCATTAAGTGATTGATTTGTCTCCTAAGCTTTTTTCAGTCCCTGAGCCATCCCATTCCCCACCCACCCTCACCTCGCCCCTCTCTCCTGTTGTGTTGAAAGAACTATTTGTCCAGCATAGTTTTGGGCTTCTCTGTGACCATCTCCTGCAGTGCTGTTTGCTGTATTCTCCTTACAGCTTCACTTGAAGCTGGGCAGAATCTAGCTGATGTGATGTTTGGCAAGAGTATTTCACAGCTGGTGGTGTAGGCCTGGAAGGCAGGAAAGTGTCCTCAGCTGCGCAGTGCTGAGAAAGACCCCGGGAGGGACCAGCGCGGCCAAGCAGCTGGAGTCCAGCTCAGGACTCAGCAGAGCCAAGTGCCCAGCTCTCCTGGCACATGACACCTCCCCAGGGCTTGAGGCCTCTCCTCAGCCACAGCTCCTCTGAGGGTCAAGGCTGTGTGTGGGAAGCGGACAGAAGGACAGAGAAGGCTGAAAAACATCCAGACATAGCAAGGAAGGGTTAACGGCAGAACTGACCCAAGTCAGAGAAATCAGGTTGACACTGAAACAAATCAGGCAGTGGAAAGGAGGCTTGAAAGCTTGTGCCCAGCCCGGACCACTTCCAGTATCACAGTTAACTCTGCAGCTTTGCCTGCGCAGTCCCAGGGAGCAGGAGGCAAGGAGGGTGCTGTGCAGGTCCCGTGGCCTGGCTTGCAGCAGGCTCCAACAGCGACCTACATTCTTGCCCTGGATATACAGCTGCTGTGTGCAGGCCCCGCTGGAGAGCCTCCCTGTTTTGAAGAATTCCTTCACTTCCTTCACAGGAGAACCCAGAGGAGGGGGCAGCGGGGTGTATAGTGTCTGCTTTCAAGTTGAGGTCCCAGGGCAGAGGTCTTGGGCTCATTTTCAGCAGCAGAGACAGGCATGCTGGGGCCCCCTCTTGTGGCCTGGCAAGAAGACTGTTGTTCTTGGGTATCAGCAAGGATTGGTTCAAGGACCCCCCCAGAGTCCACAAACAGTCAAGTCTCTTATATAAAAGGGCATCGTGTTTTCTCTAACTTATGTACATCCTCTTGTAAACTTTTAAAAACCATCTTTAAGGGCCAGGGATTTAGCACAGTGGCATAAGCGCCTGCCTGGCAAGCGCAAGTGGTGAGTCTAATAGCATACACACCAGAAAACATCTTTAGGTTATGTAGAATACTGAATACAGTCTCATACATGTGAATAGTTGTTACGGCATTGTTTAGAGAAGGATGACAGATGAGACTTCTGTATGCTCATGGCTCGGGCCAGACACAACCACAGCAACCTCCTCAGTGTGCCACGGAGGCTGGGGAGCTCAGGTGTGGAGGGCACCTGCTGAGGTCTCGGGCAGAACACATGTCCCAGATCTGACCAGTGAGCTGGATGAGAGAACAGGGTGTGACAGAGGGGTAAACAGGGATTTTTGTTTGCATAGTGTCAGCCAGATTCACAGGAACAGAGGCTCAAAAGGACCTGTGCCATCAGGCCAGAGACACCCCTCTCCTCTGTGGTGCCTGGCTCTGCAGGGACTTCAGCATGGTCTGGGCCTACAGGCTGAGGTGCTGGTGCTTGGAGGTCTGCCCTTAGGCACCTCCTTCCTCCCCCTGCCCCACACTGCAGTTCCTCTTGAGGAGCACAGAACACTCTCTTGACATCCCAGCAAGGAAAGCAGACCTCCTCCCCCAGGAGACCTCCCTCCAACTCATCCGTCTTGGCTCTGAGGAGCCCTGAGAGACCAGCAGTCCCCTGTTGGCCATTCAGGGCCTGATGATGATACTGACAGCCTCTGTTGAGGGCCACTACCTGTTTCTTTACTCCTGTAGCCCTGCACAGTCACTGTCACCTATGCTCTGAAGGACAGGCGAACTCACCCAGTCCCACCCAGCCCACACACCTGCTTCTCTTCGTGATATGCAGGTGACGGTGGGGACAGACGGCAGGCCTGGACAGCCCAGAGGAGTCACTGGGAAGTGGCCAAGGGAACAGGCTCAGCTAATCAAAGATTCAGAAAGGGCCTGGGCAGGTGCACAGGGAGGTCACAGGGTCCCATCCAGGGAAGGGCAGGAAAGGGAACTTGTGGCAGGACTCAGCCTTAATCCTCTGATATAGCTGGTCACCAAGGACAGTGCTCACTCATAGCCTGACTGTGGGGATGTTGAGGCAGCGGGAAAATACAAAGTTTCGGAGCTGACAGCACACTGCTAACAGTGCGGATGGTCCAGCTCCCACAGCCACGCTGGGGCTCAGCTCACCTCACATCCTGCAGAGCAGTGGTGACAAAGCTGAGCCTGCTGTGGACAGCTGCTTTCCTCAGCAAGCGACAGGGACCTCATTCTGGCGAGTCAGCACAGGGCAGTGGCGCACAGAGACCTGGCCAGGTACAAGGTGAGGCTAGAGGGCCGGGGATTTAGCTCAGCGGCTCAGTCTCTTGCCTGGTAGGTGTGAGGTCGTGAGTTCAAGCCCAAGTACCAACAAACAAAAACAACAAGGCTTGATGCAGGGGCCTGGACACACAGGGCATCTAGGGGCTTCCTTACTCCCATAACAGTCCACCTAAGTCAAAGCATGTTCAGCTTGGAAGAGAACTTGAAGGCCAGCATTCACCCAGAGAATCCGGGCTTTGGTTTGTCACATAGATGAGAGCAGGGATCACAAAGGCGCTTACTGGAGGGTGCTCCAAATGACAGGCGCTTAGCAAAATTCTAAGAGCTATTTTGCTGCCAAGTGAAAAGGCCAGAAAGAGAGCTGAGGGCTCAGCTCTGTCCCTGTGCCACCATCACAGCCGCCTCTTCTTCCTCTCTTCCTTACCGTCCTTGAACGTGATCTATCCAGCCATGGGGCTGGATGGTGGAGAATGATTCTTCAGCCTCCCCAGATACAACCTGACTGTCATTTGGTCTGGATAGCTGCCCCGAGGGCACCACACTCCGTGCCCAAGGCTGTGTGGAGAGTCAGTAGAATGTCACAGCTTGTGAAGGTTTGGTGAGCCCCTCACCCACCTTCTGGCTTCTGAGGGTCAGCAAGCAGAGAGAGCTGGGTCAGCCCTGGGGCTTGAGGTGGGCTGGGCACAGTGGCATTGGGAAAGACTTGTTAGAGACGCTTCTGTCATCTCAACTCTGCTTTACCCCGTCCACAGAGGCACTTGTGCCCACTTTAATCCCACACAGCACTGGAAATCTCTGTCTCAGCATCTCTGAACAGTGAAACCAGGAGAAGTGTGCCCTTACACACTCACGTGAAGCAACACCAAAAGAGGCCCAAGAATAGGCCAGAAAGAGCAGAGGACTCTGCCTCACACCCATTCTGGCCCCCAGCCTGAGGTAGGGGGGTCAGAATCTTTCTTGGGCTAACACGAGCAGGAGTTTTTAAACCAGGCTCCCATTTAGTCAGGCAGCGTGTTAGTCGCTTTAAGTGTTCTGTTTCCCAAAGTTTCCTTCCTGGCTTCCTTCCCTCCCCACCCCCAACATGTCTAATTTCCTTTTGAAATCTTTAATCAGCTGAAGGCTGAGGGAAGTTCCAAAGGAGGAAGCAGTGAGTCTAGCTCTTATAAAGTGATCCCCAAAGAGAAAAAACGGAAGATGAAAGACCCGCATCCGAATGATGTGCCTCCAACTTGGCCTGGGAGGAGGGGAAGGCTGGCATCAAAAGTTCCCAAGGAAACACCCAGAGCAGGTGCTCCCACGCAGTGTGCTGTCCCCCTGAGCCCTCGTCCTGGGACATCCGCAAACCCTCCAAGTCACTTGCCTCAGGAGTCACTCATGGGAGACAGGAATATTGTGGCTGTGCGAGTGCTGAAATGATCGGCTTGGCATCGGAAATCCACAGAGGAGAAAGGCATTGGGCTTTAAATTATTCACACCAGCTCTTCTTTTTTTAGCTAAGACTGCATGACAGAGGCAGATAATTCAGGCCATGCAAGCCTAAGGCCGATGACCAGGGCTGATGCCGTCCTCTTCAAACGGGAAGACTATTTTTAGAGGTTTGAATATGGGCTTTGCAAACTTTTATATCTTCAGCCAAATGAAGATCATGATGGATGGTTCAGACTAAACTGGGTCTTTGTTGGGAGCTGCTTTATTTTTAGGGAATGGATAAAAAGTAAAAGGTTCTGGAAACCAGTTTCTGAAAATGAGCAGACCCAGAATTGCAATGCTTCTGTCCAGGGTGTCAAAACATGGTTAACTAGGGAAATAAGACCTAGAATCTGGGACAGATTTCTGTCTCTTGTACAGGTTCCCTTGGTCCCCTAACAAGTTAGCCAGTGTCTCTTTACCATCACGGGCT